GCACGCCTTTAATCCCAGCACTCGGGAGGCAGAGGCAGGCGGATCTCTGTGAGTTCGAGGCCAGCCTGGTCTACAGAGTGAGTTCCAGGACAGCCTCCAAAACAATACAGAGAAACCCTGTCTTGAAAAACCAAAAAAAAAAAAAAAAAAAGTCATCTTGCCCTTGCAAGGTTTTGGCCAAGATGCACAAATATAATTCTATCAATGGAAAACTATTGGCCTAATAGTTAAAGTCAGCTAGTAGGAAGCCAGAGGAAAATTACTTAGCTTTGCATAATTATTTGAATGTAAAAAGGGAACATTATCTATTCCTACCTCTCAGTGTGGTGCAGCTATACAAGACTATAAACGTGGGACACAGAAGAAAAAAAAAAGCAACAAAAACATTAAGTAATAACACGAAGAGTGAATGCAGTAGCTGTGATGACTCTCATCTGGATTCCTAGCACTTGGAAGGCCAACCCGGGAGCATAGCCATAAGTCTGAGGCCAGCTTAGGCTACAGTGCAAAACCCTAATTTAAATAAATAAATAAGTAAGTAAATAAATAAATAAATAAATAAAAAGGGCTGGAGAGATGGTTCAGCAGCTAGGAGTACCGGATGGTCTTCTAGGACCTGGGTTTAATTCCCAGCACCCACATGGCAGCTCACAACTGCAACTCCAGTTCCAGGAGATCCTATATCTTCATACCAATGCACATAAAGTTAAATAAATTATTTTTAAAATAAATAAAATAAAACATAAGGAGCAGTGAAATGGTTCAGTGGGTAAAGACTCAGCACCAAACCTGACAATATGAGTTTGACCCCTGAAACTTACATGGTGGAAAAGAGAACTAACTCCTGCAAGCTGTCCTCTGACCTCCATATTAGTGTCATGGCATACACACGTGCACACACATACACACACACATAGGTAAACAGATAGTAATCCTCACCCAAAAAAATACAGAAACAAAACAAAACAAACAAAAAACCCCAAACCAAAAAAAAACTAGATAGTATTATCCAATGCTAAGAACACACTGTGGGATTGCTGCCTGTATATAGCAGGTGAACATTTGACCTTTCCATGCTCCAATTTCTTCATCTGTAAAATAGACATAATGGTAACTTGCAACTCATAGGGTTCTATAAGTATTAAACGATCTCACAGAGCTGGGTGAGGTGGTGTACACCTACAAACCCAGCATTCAGGAGACTAAAGAAGAAAGATGAAGAGTTTGAGATTAAGCCTGGATTATATAGCAATACCCTGTCCCAACAGAAAAAAAATTTTTCATACAGGTGAAGGGCTTAAAATAGTACCTGGCAAACAGTAAATAAAATATATGCTAGATATTATTATTGATATAGTATTTATCTAAACTGCCTTAAGCATAAACAGTTAGATAACTATAAACGAGGAACAGTAACAAGTGACGGCAGTGACCAGCTGAACATCTGTCTGAAACCGGAAATTTAAATCAAAGAAATACACTCTGAAAAATAAAAACGGACTGAGAAAAAGGAAAACCTTGATAAAATTAGTTTTCTACATAGAGGGGGCATGAAAGTTTGGCATGGTGGCGCATGAATGAAATATCAGCACTTGAAAAGCAGTCAGACACAACAGGAGCCCAAGACAGCCTAGTCTACACAGCAAGTTCTAAGCCAGCAATGGCTACACAGTATCTGAAACCAACCAGCAAGAGGGCAGAACACAAACATATAACCCTGTGAATCACTGCAAACACTGACTCAGCACATAGTGCCTGATGCCTCCAACTTGCCTGCTTCTGGGCTCTATCCATAAGCTCTGGATGGTGGGACACTTAGGGGAAAGTGACATTTAGAGATTTTCACAGATGAATGGAGGCAAGCATCTGCCTAGAAATCTCACAGTGTCACAAGACCAGAGTGCCGTGTTAATGAGTCTTCTGTTTTTTTTCCTGAATCAGTAATAGCTTATTTCAACAAAGTAGGAGACGGTACCACTTACAAGATTGCAGAACTTCCTTATTTTCCTCAGACATTGCTTCATTGGACATTCATTTCCTGGGCCTATGCTGGGAACTTTCTGGTATACTTGGAATGCAATTAACTATCTCCCTATTGTATCCCATGCCTCTCTAATGGACCACAAAGCCAACTTTACTGGACAGAGTCCATGAATCAATGCAAATCTTTGGGTGACACAAAGAAAGAGCTTATTAGCATAAACCCACATTCCTTTTAGTAGTTTTGAGTGAGGGAGCCTAGAAGGAATGTTGTTAATGCTCAGTCATATTAAGAATACAATGGTATGGAATAACAACACCAATCTGCATTGCACACCATTATTCACTGGAAACATGTACACCCTGACTAATCAGTGTCACTCATTCTTTACTGATATGGGACACAGAGAAACAGTAAGCAGGACTCCAAAGACTTGCCCAAGATTCTACAATGACTCACAAGCAAGCCCAAGCTTGAATCAATGTCCTGATTCTCACCAATCTGTGCCCCTCTGTGTGCCAGGTATGCTTAAAAGCTCCTTCTTGTTCCTTCTTGAGTCTTCCTGGGCTCCTGGAAGCCTTTTCACTTGGTGTTCTACGAGATGGCTGGGGCAACATTTGCCAGCCATGGTCATGCTGCCAGAGAAGCTACTGTAAGAGTTCAGAGCCAGAATCAAGTCACCTTCATGGTACTGCCAGGACCAATGATCTCCATTGTTTCCAAAATATTCTCTTTAAAAGCACCTATTTGTATACTGTTGGAAGGCCCTGCTGGTCAGAAGTCACAGTCCACCATGGCCTGACAGTTTTTTCCAAAGCTCGATGTCATGGGAACTTCCTCCTCAGAGAGACTTCCTGCTCTCTACTTGCCCAGTAAATGGACGTTATCTGAACGTTGTCTCTAAGCCCGGGTGCCTGATTAACCTTTTTTTTTTTTTTTTTTTGGTTTTTACGAGACAGGGTTTCTCTGTACTGTTTTGGAGGCTGTCAGTCCAGCCTGGCCTCGAACTCACAGAGATCCGCCTGCCTCTGCCTCCCGAGTGCTGGGATTAAAGGCGTGCGCCACCACCGCCCAGCTGATTTATCTTTTTGTTTTGCTTTGTTTTTGTTTTTTGAGGCAGGGTTTCTCTGTGTAACAGCTCTAGCTGTCCTGGAAATAGTTCTGTAGACCAGGCTGGCCTCAAACTCAATAGAGATCAAACTTTAATCCCAAGTACTGGGATTAAAGGTGTGAGCCACCACTGCCAGGTGGCTGATTTATCTTTAGCATGACCCTTGGCATAGTTCCCTGCTAGAAGCCTCCCCTGCTGTACTATGGTAACTAAGACTTATACTAGAAGCTTTGCTATAGGACCCTGCTGCCACATAAGAAACCTCAAGATAGGACTGCACTACTTAATGCAAATCAGGGTTTGTCCCCAGGCTTCCCAATCTTATTAGGTATTTCCTATACTCTGGAATAAAGCTGAGCTGATTCAATGAAGTCATCTCCCAGAGGGTGTTCTCTGTGGAACGCACAGCCTTCCAAACCGCTTCTGCTCTCTCTACTCTCATGAACCAATGTACCAACAATCCAGAGGAAGAAGCAGAGCCACAGTATATCATACAGTTCACAACCGTCAATCTCTAGTGTGGGAGAAAGACGATACACCCCAGTGATTGTAACACTTAGGAGGTGGGCATAGGAGTATCAGGCATTCAAGATCATTTTGGCTATAAGTGTGAGATCCTAGACTATATAAGACACGTCTCCATTTTTAAAAAGGAAAGGGGGAGCTATGGGAAATAGTTCAGCTGGTAAAGCTCTTAATCTGAACCTACATAAAAGAAAAGCAGGACTGGGTAGCAGATACTTATATTCCTGGGAAGATAGAGACAACCATATCCCCAGGACTCACTGGCTATCTAGTCTAGTCTACTTGGCAAAAGTTCCAGCTAGAGTAAGAGACTCTGTCTCAAAATAAAATGAAAGTACTGCACCTGAGGAATGACACCTGAGGTTGTCCTCTGACCTCCAGATAGGTGTGTACAGGTATACATACATACGTACATACAGACACATACACACACAGAGTACAATGTATATCTAAGTAATAGCAACAATAATAAAATTTAAAATTAACAGTTCTGAGAAACAAGAACTCCCAATTTTGATCTAAAGTACACCCTTGAAGAATGACCATTTCCAAGGCTGGAGATACGGCTCAGAGGTCAAGAGCATCAGCTGTTCTTCCAGAGGACCTGAGTTCAATTCCCAATGAGATCTGGCACCCTCTTCTGGCCTGTGGGCATACAGACAGACTCTGTATACTAAATAAATAAATCTAAAAAATGTTCCAAAAAAAAAAAAAAAAAAAGAATGACCATTTCATCCTGATAACACATCCCTTTAATGCCTGCACCTGGAAAGCAGAGGCAAGAGGATCTCTGTAAGTTCCAGGCTAGCCAGGTCTACAGAGTGAGTTCCAGGCCAGCCAGGGCTACACAGAAAATCCATGTTTTGAAACAAACAAACACAAATTTAAAAACAAAAAAGGAAAGAAAACAAACAAACAAACAAACAAAAAAGACCATTTCCTAACTACTTGTTCACAAATGATGATGAACATTCAGTATTTGCAGTTGTAACTGAAACCCAAGGTGTGTACTATTTCCCTACCATCTAAGCAACCAAGGGCCACTTAATTACCTCAACATGGGCTTCCCTCAGCTCAAGGGACTAGACAGTCCCAAGTACTATTATGTAATCAATATTCTTACTATCATCACAAGTCATTCAAATGGGCCAAAACTTGACAAGAGGTTAAGTTCAGTAACTTAGCTAGTAGATTTTGCTTTTTTTGTAGTACCTGAGTTCAAACTAGGGCCTAGGGCATTCTCTACCACTGAGCCATGTCACCAGCCCAACCACTAAGCTCTGAATTTGCTACGGGCAGAGGACATGTTTTACTAATCCTTATCCTAGCACACAGCACAACGTCATCAATATTTGTATTCAATAAGCATGTGATAAACATTACCATGTAAGATGTCTGAGTCGTCTTCAACAAAATCAATGTCTCTTAAGTCCCATTCTGCGTAATTGTCAAACTCCTGTTAGAGGGGGAAAAAACATCCAAACCCAACAGTTTTGAGTAATGTCTTTACAATAGCTATGCTTTAGGGGCAAAGAGGAAATTCTTGAGCCAATATTTGCTAAGTACTAAATTGGATAAAAGGCAAAGATACTGCTCTAAGAGAAAAATTATAGGAAAAATCTGAGAGACTTTTGGCAGTCATGAAAACAAAGAGCTGGGATAGCATAATATTAGGAACAAAGACAAGCCTATTGTTTAAAAATGTTTAATAGTCTGCTCATTCCAAAGAGAATCTTTGTTAGGCCTTTAAATATTCTGGTAAGAATTAATTCATTTTCTTTTTTATCACCCTTTGAGAGATCTGTTTAGCCCCAATATCGCTTATACACTAAGAACAGTTCAGTCTATTTGAGGACAGTTCAGAGAAGAGGGTGACTGGAGCATTCTGCACTACCACCTGCCATGAACAAAATGACCAACTGGGTATGGCGAGCCGGGTTCTAGTTTAACAACCTATCCCCAAGAGCACTGCAGATGACATCAGATAGCAAGCTAAATTTTGCTTTTGTTTTTGCTTGAGACAGATGTGCAATGTGTAGCCCTGGCTATCCTAGAATTCACTCCCTAAGCTGGGCTGGTCTTGAACCGTGCCTCTGCTTCTCAAGTGCTGGGATTAAAGGTGTGCATCACCATCACCACCTGACTGCAAATTAAAATCTTATGACTACTTCCACACTTATTTTAATTCCATGGATAAATGCAGAAAATAGTTTGAATGAAATAGTTTTTTCCTTCAAAGACAGGATTTCTCTGTGTAACAGCCCTAGTTGTCCTGGACTTTGCTTTGTAGAAAAGGTAGGCCTCAAACTCACAAAGATCTGCCTGCCTCTGCCTCCTGAGCTCTGGGACTAAAGGTACGTGCCACCACACCCGGCTTAATGAAATAGTTTTAAAGGACACATGCATACATATAATGCAGGACTCAGCTACCACTCCTCACTGCCTACTTGGGAAATAAGCTTTCACTGGAACACAGACATATCCTTTTGTTTATATGTTATCTATGTTCCCTTCCTTCTTTCCTTCTTTCTTTCCTTCCTTCCTTTCTCATTACACAGCCCAGGCTTATCTAAAACTAAAACTCATAATGTTTCTGTGCTATTTTTACACAATAACAGCTAAGTTTGGTTGCAACAGAAACTGAATAATTTAAAAAACTTAAAATGTAACCTGGCCCTGATATAGCACAAGCTTGAAAACCCCTTGCTATGGAATGACAACTGCAGAAATTTCACACCTACCAAGATGGTGGGAGCAATACAACTCCACCTGGGAGGCTGGCTCCCCCTCAAAAGTGTCACTGCTCCCTCCACAAGTGGTCACAATGAAAAAGGAAAGGCCTGGAAATAACAATGCCTTAAAAACTCTCCCAGAAACAAAAGTAAGTTTTTCCTTATTGTATGCTAGAAACAAGTTTTTGTTACCTCAATGAAATCTGCCCGAGCTGGCATGTATCCTGCCATGTCCCGAGACAACAATGAGTCAAAAGCAGGCCGGGGAGGGTCATCTGTAGCTGCAACAAACAATGGGTTTTTCTTAATAAAATGTCAAATAAACGTCTTTAAAGTTTGGATTTAAAAACAAAAACAAACTGTTGCTGAATATTTGTTTACACTGTAAAGATGTTTCTTTGCCAAGGTGCCTTCTGATTGGTTTAATAAAGAGCTGAATGCCACTAGCTAGACAGGAAGAAGTTAGGTGGGACTTCCTGGGCAGAGAGGACTCTGTGAAGAAGAAAGGCCTGGTCAACAGCCAGATAACACCATGTGGCAGAACGTGGATTAATATAAATGGGTTAATTTAATTTATAACAGCTAGTTGAGACAACCTAAGCTAAAGGCCAAGCTTTTATAATTAATAAGTTTCTATGTCATTATTTGTGAGGTGATGGCCAATGAAAAGACTTGCTAATTTAACAAACAAGCCCCCCCAAAATAAACAAACCAACCAAAAATTAACAATAACAACAAAAACAAAACAGAGTTTCTCAGAGTATGAAGGCACATGCCTTTATCCTAGCACCTGAGAGGCAGAAGCAGAAAGATCAGATCAAGGGCACACTTAGCTATACAACGAGGTCCAGGAAATGCCAAGGCAGGGCATCACTAAATGCTAGGGTGGCCTCAAACTCTTGTGATTCTCTTGCCTCAGCCTGCTGAATGCTGAGTTACAGGTGTCAGGCACCACATTCAACTCTGAAACATTTCTTTGAGAAAAAGGATCTAAGAATAAATTCAAAAGTTTTAGAAAGAATGAAAAGGTAATTATGAAAAAAAACCCAACAGCCTCGTTAGCCTGTGGGGGGGGGATAGGGTCTTCTCTCTATGTAGCTCTGGCTATCACTTGCTATGTGGACTAGGCTGACTTTAAAAAGATCTACCTGCCTCTTCCTCCCAAGTGCTGGTGGTGTTTTTATTTTGTGCTGAGACAGAAGTTTAAAATTCATTATATATTCTACACTACTCCCAAACTCCCAATCCTCAGGCCTCAGCTTCCCAAGTGGCAATCATGGGGTTATAGTCATATGCCACCATGCACACCAAACCCCAGATTGATTTCCTAATGAAGGAAATTAAGTCTGAAGGAATTCTCCCAAAATATCCTCTGATTTGCATGTATTTGTGCAGGCAGGCATGCGCAATGGCATGCATCCAGAGGTCAGAGGACAACTTGCAGAAGTCCGTTCTCTCCTTCCACCATGCGAGTGCCAGGGACTGAATTTAGGTCACGCTTGATGGCAGGTGCCTTTCCCTCTCAGACACTCTGTAGCCTTGCCCTCTGGTTTTTGCTTTCCTAAAATGATTGAAAAATGGAACAAGGGTATTTTCCTTCAATGTTGTATAGAATTCAAGTATCCTGTCAGTGTCCTGCTCCTTTGATCTTTAGGACCACTATCCACTTACAGATCTCATCTAACCAAGAAGCAAAACATCCTGGATTTTGAAGTTAATCAAACTGGGTCCCAGTGCCAGCCCACACCAGTTCCACAACTTTGTACAAATTATTCAACCTTTTACAATCTCAGATTCCTTGTGTGTAACACAAAAGCATCTGTTCTAATTATTTCACTGAGTTGCTGTTCATAAGAAATAGGCTTAATAGACTCAAAGAAAGTGCTAACATCCAGAGTGCTATCCAAGTAGGAGTTATCAGTAATCTCTGAGGTAGTCAGCTAAGAGTTGTTTCCCAGAAATGAAGAAAGGCAGGCCAGTGGGGAAGCATGTATATATCACTAGTGTTCTGGGACCATTCACGGAAGATGCCTGTTTGTAATTAATCAGGTTCTGGTTACACTGTATTAAAAGACCCACTGATCCCCACAGGCACAAAAGATTTAAAAAAATTGCCTTCACTGCCATAACCAAGTGAATAAAAAGAAAAAACTACTCCTTGGACTTAACACTGAGGCAATAATGAATACTGGTAAGCAACTCTTACCACAGGTACCATAAGAAGGCTTATAACAAAGACAGCATAGATAGACTGGCCCCTTTTTAACATAACATCTTACAGAAGCAACCGTTAATTAATGTTAACTAATATATTGCAAGAGATCCAGAGTGGAAGGCTGCTACTCTGACCTCTGGGATGTGCTCTTTCTTTGCCATATCATAGCCCTGACTCAATAGCTATCATACCAAACTCTCTTACCTTCTAGAAGCTCTTTATCTGTCCAAGTCATCACATCACTGTTTATCTGCTATGGAAACAGAGCCCAAGAATGGTTTAAGTACCTCTTACCCAAATAGGCAGGCACTTACAGTGAAACGGAATGGCTGTGTCAGCAGTTTTGGCTGCCTCAGCTTGCTTCAGGGTTAGCAGGGTGGATGCAAACAGAGGGTTATTGATGAAATGCTTCATGTAGTGCTTCTCACATTCCTCTTTGGTTTTGGTGCACATCTGATTAGCTACATCCTGCCTAAAACAATGTGGAAAAAGAGCAGAGAGTAGTTTTCTTACTGATATAGACCACCGAAAGCTTGGTTTGTTCATTCCATATTTGTAGTCAAGTCAATATAAAAGCAATCATCTGATACTTCCAAGTAGGTGTCAGCAAAACAACAGTGAGACAGATATATCACTGATACTCGTGCCATCTGATGTTCCAAATCTTGCTACTTCAAGATAGAGAAACAATAAAGGGACCTTTCCTTTCCACTGAAAGGATGATGGCTATTTTTTGACCCAGTAATTTCCAAGCTGGGTATGTAGCTTAGTTGGTCAAGTACTTTCGCCTAGAATGCATGAAGCCCAGACATGGTGGTACACACCTATAATCCCAATACAAAAGAGGTAGAGGCAGAAGTGTCAGAAATTCAAGGTCAATCTTTGGCTGCATATTCTGTTCAAAGGTCAGTCTGAGATAGACACATGAAACCTTGTTTCAAATATCATCATCAACATCACCTATAAATTTCCCTGAGGTAGGCCAGAGAAAGAAATGTTATAATCAAGAAGCTACTTTAGAGTAAGGAAATGGTAGCAATGACTACAATATCAACACTGGGGAGGTAGAGGTAGGTACTCTGTGAGTTTCAAGTTCTAGATCAGCCAGGGCTATAGAGTGAGACAGTGTCTTTCAAATAAAAAGAGGCCAGGTGTTGTGGCTTATGCTTTTAATCTTAGAACTTGGGAGGTAGAGGCTGGAGGATCTTCATGAAACCCAGGCAAGCCTGACCTATATACTGAGTTCCAGGATAGCCAGGACCGCATAGAGAGAACCCTATCTAAAAACAAAACAAAACAAAAAAAAGACCCCACCACCACCAGCAGCAGCCTCCTCTCTGGAAGGAGAGAAGCAATTCTTGCAAGTTGTCCTTTGAACGTCACATGTGTGTGCCCATAGACATACACTATAATAAATGTGACTTAAAACATTTTTAAGGGGGCTGGAGAGCTGGCTCAGAGGTTAAAAATAATTCCTTCAGTGGTCAACGAGTGCCTGTAACTCCACTCATTCCCTTTTCTGGCCTCTTTGGAATGTGAACACGAGTGACAAACACTTACATAGACACATACACACCTAATAAACAAACAAACAAGCAAACAAAAAGCCCTTAAAAAACTTAAAAGATTATTAGTAACAACAGAAACCATCTTGGAACATACAAAATGTAGAAAAGTGCCAGGCATGGTGGCACACACCTTAAATCCCAGCACTTGGAGGTTAGAGGCAGGTGGATTTCTGCAAAATTGAGACTAGCTTGGTTTACAGGTTTACAAAATTCCAGGCCAGCCAGGGCTACACAGTGAGACTGTCTTAAAAAAGTATATAAATCTAGTTTTATTTCTGCATGTCTTATAGTATACAAAACACAGGTCATGAACAGACATTTCTTCACTAGAATTCATACGGATATGCAAGGCATTGAGATACAAATACCCAAACATAATTTAAGATCACCTTAGTATTAGCCTTGTGTAGGGGTGAGCCCCACAAAGCTATCCACCCTAAGGGTGGGGATAAGGAAATTTAGGACAGGTGGAGATAAAAGGAAGTGAAAGAGAAACAAAATCCTTCTCCTCGATTGGAAGCCTGACACACTTCTGACTCCCCAGCTTGTGCCTTGTGTGTAAGTTCTTATTCTGGTAAATAAATATATTATATTCCATATTGCGTTGACCTTTTGCATCACTCAGCCTTGTAGTGTATTGTTATTTTTATTTCATAGAATAAAAAAAAAAAGACACCTAAGAGAAAATATACCTGCTAAAGAAGACAAAGCCAGAATTTACTTATTTTTTTATTTTATGATGGGGGAAGTCCTGTGTATATGTCAATAAAGCACTGTTGGCCAATAGGGAACCAAGATAGGTGGGACTAGGAGTCCAGGAGGACTCTGGGAAGGAGAAACAAGGAGTCGAGATGTAACACCATGCCATGGGGTAGGAAGCCTGGAAACCTCTCCAGTAAGAGAAATACTTAGATTAGCAATTATGGGATATATACTTAAGTCAGAGCTAGCCAGTAAGAAACAAGCAAGGCCAACAGCTTCATAACAGCCTACTGTGTGTTTATTTGGGACTGATGCGGCTGTGGAACCAGGCTGGCGGGAAGGCTTCCCTTTACAATTTTATTTTATTTTTTGGTTTTTCGAGACAGGGTTTCTCTATATTGTTTTGGAGCCTGTCCTGGAATTCACTTAGTAGATCAGGCTAGCCTCAAACTCAGAGAGATCCGCCTGCTTCTGCCTCCCAAGTGCTGGGATTAAATGTGTGTGTTACCAACGCTGGGCTCAAAGCCAGAATTTATACTGAGACTGATGACTCCTACCTCAGGTGATGCAGAGGTAGAGGTAAATCTCTTAGTTCCCTCTGCAAGCTCACTCTTACAGAACCCTTCCTTAGGGGATCACTATGATGCTGTGTTCGTCAGTCAACTGTGGACAGTTTGATTCCTTTAATAGATAAAGAGCCCACACGAGGACAGGAACCTAAATTTTTTGTGCTCTTACCACCAAGCCAAGTCCCTTATCCACAATGGATACAGAAGCAACTAGATAATCCTGCATAGTGATGGGGATTGAACCCAAATAACTCACACATCCTGAGCAAAAGCTCTAACACTCAGATATGTATCTTCTCCACCCAGGCAAGATGACTAGTAAACTGCTCACAAGTGATCTCTGGTACTCTCCACACATACGGTGTTTTCATCACGTGTAGGTGCTAAATGAATGGAAACAAAATGTGAGCTGAGCTCTAGTCTGCCACTTGACCCTGGACATAAGGAGGGCAGCACTCCTAATAACACAAGGAAGTACTATGAGCACTAGCAACCAGGGAAGATCCAGGAGGTTCCTTCACTACCAAGTTATGAAAAACAAGAAAGAATTTAACTCACTAAGATTCAGATGCTTCATGAATAAAAAATATGTTTAATAACATCTCTGCTGTCTACTTCACAAAACAGAATTATCAGCATGAGTGTTCATAAATTGTAAAATCTGGGAGATTAACCTCCAGATCAAGTGAGAGACTTTGTCTCAAAAAATAACATGGAGAGCAAAATCAAGGACATTTGACATCTCTCCAGCCACCACACACCACACACCACACACCACACACACACACACACACACACACACACACACACACACACACACACACACACACACACACACGATGGGACGGGGGAGGGGGCCCCCCTGCAAACTCCTACCCTCAAGCCCTAACAAGTACACACACATTTTTAAAGCTGTATTGTGTGTCTAGAAATCTATAAAAACAGAAGGGAGAAATAATCAGCAACCTATACTTCTCCACAACTCAGGAAGAGCAATCTTGGGGTTGATGATCCAAAGTAACTCTGAGAACTGCTCAGTCATGAGCCACTAAGCATCCTGTGTTCTGAAGGTATTTCAGGCCTAGAAGAAGCGTACACAGATGAGAAACTGCCCCAGAGTCCCTGGTCATCAGGAAAGCAGCAGAGCTGCAGAGCTTTTCACTTGTTGAGGCACTCTGCTTTTATATTTCCACAGTGGTTTCTCTTCTGAGCCCATAGGACAGGAACACCCAACACTAAACCCTTACCAGTTTCCAAAGCCACAGTCCATTACAGCTTCTAAAAGGGCCATTTCTTCCTGAGCAGTCCAGCTGGGATCAAGAACAGGAAAGTCTGAGGTCTAAGGAGAAAAAAGATTTGGTTAAGAACAGGGACAGGAGTGACATGCAGGAACCCCAACTGTGGTACATGGTTTAAAAAGACTACGTCACACTGGCAGTGTACATCTATAATCCCAATGAGAGGCAGGCAAGGACTTCAGGTTCAGTGAGGCACACTGTCTCAAAAAATAAGGTGGAAAGTCTTAAAGAAAGACACCTGAAGTCAACTTTCAGCCTCCATATACAGGTGCACACACATACATGTACAACATGTTGCACATACACAAATACTCACTGTGCCCCTCCCCATATAAAGACTGTCATTATTTTCCTTAGGATTTATTATTATTTTCTAGCTTTTCATATCTACCTCTATGAGCTACAACGTTTTCCACTAAAACAAATCAATATTTATTTTTTTCTGAAAAGAATGGTTCTGAATGTGTTCACAGTAATTATGGTAACATTTATTGGTTCAGCAGTCAGAAGTGCACACTGCTCTTCCAGAGCACCAGAGTTAGATTTCTAACGCCTATGTCAGGAGGCTAAGAACCATCTGTAATTCCAGAACCAAGAGATCTAACACCTATGGCCTCCACATGCACCAGAACTCACATGTGTACATGCATGTGCACTCACACACACACACTGTCTCTGAAAAACACATCTTACAAGTAATTAAAAAAGAAATCAATTTAAAAAGAAAAGAAGCATGGTGGCACACACCTTCAATCCCAGCATTTGGGAGACAGAGGCAGGTGGATATCTATAAGTTCTAGGCCAGTCTGGCCTACAAATTGAGTTCCAGGACAGCCAGAGCTACATATAGAGAGACACTATCTCAAAAAACAAGAGAAAAAAAGAACCTGATGAGGGATATACTTCTGTATATATGTTTCTCTTATTAGTTGATGAACAAAACAGTTTGGCCAATAGAGGCAGGAAGATAGGCAGGACTAGAAGACGAGGAGAATTCTGGGAAAGGTAGGTAGAGAGAGATGTCATGTAGAGACTGGGAAGATAGGACACACCAGGCGTTCTCCAGTAAGATAAGGTCATGTAGAAATACATAGTAGTTATGGGTTAATAATTAAGACAGAGTTAGCCTATAAGAAACCCTAGCCATCAGTCAACTGTTTTATAATTAATACAGGTCTCTGTGTGCTTATTTGGGGCTGAAGCAGCTGTGGGACCTGGTGAGACAAGAAAACTCCAGCAACAGAACTCACAGTACTAACAGGCAACACATTTTGATCTATGCCTGCCATATGAGCTTATTTTGAGAAATTTCAGAGACCATGCTTATATTAAACCTATTACAAACACATTCAACCTGGAAAGCACCATAAAGATTTGCAAATATGAAGTCACATATTGGTTGACATGTGTGGTAGTTTGATAGAAAATGGCTCCCAAAGGGAGTGGCACTATTATGAGGTGTGACCTTGTTGGAGGAAGTGTGTCATTGTGGGGGTAGGCTTTGAGTTCTCTTTTGCTCACACTTGTCAGTATGACAGCCAACCATCTTCCTGCTGCTACTGGTCAAGATGTAGGCAGCACTACTACAACTGCCTGAAGGACATCATGCTATACCCATCATGAAGACAATGGACTGAACCTCTGAAACTGTAAACTATCACTCCAACTAAATGTTTTCTTTATAAGAGTTGCCATGATCATGGTGTCTCTTCACAGCAATAAAAACTTAAACTAAGACAACAGTTGTGCCGGGCGTTGGTGGCGCACGCCTTTAATCCCAGCACTTGGGAGGCAGAGGCAAGAGGATCTCTGTGAGTTCGAGGCCAGCCTGGTCTACAGAGTGAGTTCTAGGACAGCCTCCAAAATAATACAGAGAAACCCTGTCTTGAAAAACAAAACAAACAAAAAGACAACAGTTGTGTTGTTTCTAACAACTGTTTCAGAATACTGATTTGCCATTCACCGATTTATAATATAATCATTCTGCACTATAGAAGAACAACAAAAGGCTTTTTGGAATAACATTGACTTCAAGAAGAAAATAAAAAGCCTGCCCCTTTCTTTAGTGTTTTCAATCCTTGACCCAAACTTGGGTCACAATCTCTAACAATGGGACCTGGAAATCTACAATTCTAAGTTCCAGGTAATAAAGTCTAAGAATTACTGTCATAAAGGGTGTGGCGGAAGAGCTGCCTTCTCTTGCTCAAGGTCCTAAGAATTACAAGACAAAAATAGCTACAGAATTCAGAAATCTCTATTAATGTACCACCCACCACAGCATGAGTAACTCCCCAAAATACAGCACCATGAGATGAGAAAAGTATGGAAACCATTTAAAGTTATCAGATGCTTTATGCTGCAAAGAATCAAGATTTTAGAGGCATGGGGTATAGAACGCCAAAAGCTGGTCATCACTTCTCTAGAAGGATAGGAAAGATTGGCTAATAAAAGGTGGAGAGTATTAGTATTCCCCAAAGGCTCCCTTGAGTTCAGATCCCTGAAAGGTGTTTGTATGGGTGGGGACCATGTGAGAAAGAATGATGTAATAAGAATTAAGTGAACCTGGCTGAAGTAAAACAATGTTTTTAGCATTATGTGGAAGATGTAGAGCTCAGAAAAGCTAGAGAGTTCACAGTCAGCTTTCCTTTGGTGGCTGAGCATGACTACAAACTACCCAAGCTACATAACTGTCTCATAAGAGCTATTCTACCATCTCACATGAATAATTCTGGATACTGGGGATGTAGGTCAGGAGTAGCATGTGATCCAATCCCCTGCACCATAAAAATAATTAAAATAAAACAGATAACAAAATCTGAGTCTAGACATTCTTAGGTGGATTTGGAAAAAGTGAATCAATTTTCTGAAGATACAGTAATTTTGGTGAAATGAACTCAAAGCCAAAGCTGCTCTGATCCTACTTTCCAAACCTTCATTCAACATGCAACTGGAAAAAGGAGGAATGTTTTGGTTACTGTTCCAATTAGTGAATATGAGACTTAAAAGAAAATGCGGTCACCCCTGGAAGGTGGAGGCAGGAAGACCCAGGATTCAAGGCCATCCTTGGCTACCTAGCAAATTTGAGGCCAGTCTGAGCTACATGAGTGTCTCAAAAAACTCAAAAAAGCAAAAAACAAAACAAAAACCTTCAAATTAAAAAAGAGATTGCAGGCTGGAGAAATATTCAGTGATTAAGGCCTATCTTCTAGGACCTGAATTTGGTTACAGACCCCATGTCAAATGCCTCACAACTGTCTGTAGCCCCAGCTCTGAATGATCAGGGTGCCTCTGCCCTCAGCTGACACATGAACTTACATGAACATATCCACATGCAAGCACACACACCTACACATAATTAAAAACAAAAAACAAAACAAAAAGCTGAGCAGTGGTGGCACGTCTTTAATTCCAGCACTCAGGAAGCAGAGGCAGGCGGATCTCTGTGAGTTTGAGGCCAGCCTGGTCTACAAAAGTGTTCTAGGACAGCCAAGGTTACACAGAGAAACCCTGTCTAAAAAAAAAACTATAACAAAAATAATACTATCTTAAAAGAGAGACTGGAAACTGCAAGGAAAGGCATCTAGTTATTCTCCCAAAAATCTTATTAAGTTGCTTTTTGACTAACTCATTATAGTCTAGAACATGACAGAATTATGGGTGCAAGAACACTAACAGGAACCAACAAATGATCAAATTCATGTTCAGTCATTCATTCTGAATGCTTTGTTTTATTTTGTTTTTGAAGCAGGGTCTTATGTATCCCTGGCTAGCTTCCAACTTATGATGTAGAAAATGAGAAAGACCTTTGCTGGCTTCATTTCCCAAGTACTCCCTGGTACTTACTGTGTGCCGCAACACCTGGCTTTATGTGCTTTGAGGATAGAACCCAGGGCACTATGTACGCTAGGTAAGCACTCTACCAGCTGAGTTACATCTAGAAAGCTGCCTTCCTAGCCATTTTTTTTTTTGACGCAGGTTCTCACTATATATATATAGCCTGATGTGGGTTAAGGTTTGATAAGGTACTGCTTGATAGAATTAAAATTAAACACTCTGCAGATGGAATTAATATTACTAACAACTAGCAAAGTAGAGGAAAGGCCTGGTTTATCTAGGTGGGCCCAATGGAACCATACAAATCCTTAAAAGTAGCAGAGGGGACCTGAGAGATGGTTTAGTGGTTAAGAGCACTGGCTGTAAAAGAAAACAAAACGAAAGAGCACTGGCTATCTTCCAGAGGACCTGGGTTCAAGTCCCAGAATTCATATGGTGGTTCACAACTGTTCAAGACATTTGACACCCTCTTCTGGGAGTGCCAGGTACCATGTGGTGAACTAACATACACACCCAGCCATAACACACATAAATTAAAAAGAAAACAAAATCTCCCCCGCCCCAGAACCCTTTTAAGTATTAGAGAAAGGCAGAATGAGAGAAACTACGTAAGCAGTATAAAGTATTAGGTCAGAGGCTCAAGCACTTTCTCAATAGTCCTCAAGGGCTCCCAGTGTCCCTGGCTTTGCAGAAGGCAAGGGGGAGGGGGGACCACCTCTGGAAGCAAAGAACAAACTCTAGCCAACAACCAACCAGGAAGCAGAGGCGCCACTCCTTCAATCTCAGGGCAGTCAATTCTGCCACCGACCTGAAAGAACCCAGAAACAGATTCTCCCCCGGGGTGTCAAGATAAAAAGCTCAGGCTAGCCAAACACCTCCATTTCAGCTTCTCAAGACCTGCCACAAACCAGGAAACCCACTGCTCTTTTGACCTATTAAACTGTGTTATCTTAAGCCACTAAATTTTTTATAACTTATAACAGCAATTGTAGAAAACTAAAACAGTGCCAAAGATTTAATCTACACTGTGGAATTAGCACTGTAAGAAAAACTGTACCAGAGGCTAAACTTGCTTTAAGTACTCTGAAGTGCTAGGGATCAAATCCAAAGCTCGGTGCACAATGGGGGGGGGGAGCTCTACTACTGAGCTAGAATCCCAGCCTCCAGACAAAACTATTTTAATAAGGTACATATACCTGTCAAGAGACCTGATTATTCACACTGGCTTATTAAACTCCTGGTCAGGTCTTGGAGAATGGCATATTTTTTTTATTAAAGGTGGCATGCCATTATTCAAATCAGAGTCAAGTCTTATCTGGCATATTGTCTAGTTTGTCTCTTCAAATTTATTTTGCTTTATCTTGTTTGGTCTTTTTTTTTTTTTTTCAAGACAGGGTTTCTCTGTATTGTTTTGTAGCCTGTCCTGGAACTCACTCCTCACTCGGTAGACCAAGCTGGTCTCAAACTCACATAGATCCACCTGCCTCTGCCTCCCAAGTGCTGGGATTAAAAGTGTGTGCCACCAACGCTTGGCTTGGTCTTTTTTTTAATATTTATTCTTAATTGAGTACGTGTGTCTGTGCATATATGGGTAAGATATGTTGTGAGATATTTGTACAGTGTGTGAAAATCTATTGCTGTGATTGGTCTAATAAAAAGTTAACCGGCCAGAGAAACCCTGTCTCATAAAAACCAAAAAAAAAAAAAAAGCTAACCGGCCAATAGTTAGGCAGGAGGTGTATGTGGGACTTCTGGGCAGAGAGAGAACTCTGGGAAGAAAGAGGGGCAGAGTCACCAGCCAGATGGAGAGAATCAAGAGGTGCAAGATGAAAGAAAGGTAAAAGAGCCACGAGGCAAAAATGAAGACTAACATAAATGGGTTACTTTAAGTTACAAGAGCTAATGGGACAAGTTTAAGCTAAGGCCTACCTTTCATAATCAATCATAAGTCTCCTTATCACTACTTGGGGTTGGCAATGGAAAAGAAAATCCCTCTACAGAGGTATTTATGGAGTCTAGAAATAGCACTGGTTTCCTTGAGCTTGTGTGCTGTCCAGTATCAGTACTAGTACTCTGCAAGAACAGTTGGTAAGTGATGGACTGCTCTCCAGTGCTACTGTTGTTTTTAGAAACAGAGTGTGGTAGTTTGAATGAAAGTGAGCCCTGTAAGTCTCAGATATCTGAATACTTGGTCCCCATTTGGAGGCTGTTTGGGAAGGATTAGGAAGTATAGACTTTGTTGAGAGAGGTGTGTCACTGGGGACAGGAAGTTAAAATTCTCCTGTCACCCCATCTTTCTGTTTCCTGTTCGTGGATCAGGATGTGAGCGTTCAGGTACTATTTCTATGCCATGCCTGCCTGCTCACAGCTATGCTCCCCATCGTGATGGATGGATTCCTGTCTCCCTGGAACTGTAAGCCCTTCCTTGTCTAAGGCGCCTTGGTCACAGTGTTTTGTCGAAGCAACTGAAAAGTAAAGTTACTTCCCAAATAGTCACCAAATGGGGATGAAGTATTCAAATGCCAGAGACTTGGGACCACCATTCTCATATAAACCTCTACACAGAGTCTCACACTACATCCCTGACTAGCCTTGAACTCATGGCAACCCTCCAACCCTTCTGTCTAAGTGCTGGGATTATCACACAGCTGTCAGTCATTTTTATGTTACATGTTGTCTTAGGTTTTCTATTGCTGGGAAGAGACACCAAGATCATGGCAAGTCTTTTAAAGGAAACACTTAATTGAGGGGGTGGCTCATTTACAGTTTCAGAGGTTCAGTCCATTATCATCACAATAGGGAGCATAGGTGGTGTTGGAGCTGGGAATGCTGTATCTTGCAGGCAACAGGAAGTCAACTGATACACTGGACAGTATCCTGAGCATAGGAAACCTCAAAGCCCACCCCTACACACTTCCTCCAACAGGCCATACCTAACCAACACAGGCACATCTCCAAGTAGTATCATTTCCTATGAGACTACGGGAACTAATTACATTTAAACTATCACATACGTATATACATACATGTTATGCTTCTTTTGTTTGTTTGTTTTATGTTTTGTTTTGTTTTTTGAGATATGGTTTCGCTGTGGCTTTGGGGGCTGTCCTGGAACTAGCTCTTGTAGTCTTGAACTCACAGAGATCCATCTGCCTCTGCCTCCCCAGTGCTGGGATTAAAGGCATGTACCACCACCACCAATATTAAGCTATTTTTATATTTAAATATCTTAATAGGTTACAAGGAACTAAAAAGCCTACTAGATAATTATCAAATTCAGAAGAGAAAAAGGACAGAGATACATGGAAATAAAGAAAATGAGTTATTAGTTCCCATCAACATCATCATTACCATTATCTCGTAAGTATGATCACTCTGATGTTTCTTGTACTCAAATCCTCGAGTGAAACACTGTGAAGAAAAAAGTTAAATTACCAAAAGCTACACACACAAAAAAATATTTTCTTTGGGCTGGGAATGAGGCTCAGCTGGCACTGGACTCAACCCCAGCATTTGGGAGGTGGAGCTAGGAGGATCAGGAGTTCAAGGTCATCCTCACTCAGCTACATAGCCAGTTCAAGGCAAGCTAGACTACACGAGACCACAGCTTTAAAAAATAAAATAAAAGCCAGGCTTGGTAATGCATATCTTTAACCCCAGCATTTGAGAGGCAGAGGCAGGTGAATCTCTGCAAATTTGAGGCTAGTTTGGTCTACACAGTTCCAGGAGAGCCAAGGCTATGTAGAGAGACCATCTCAAAACACCAAAATAATAAACTAAAATAAAAAACAAGACAAAAAATGGTTTGAGGGTGTTCTACTTTTACTTTTTTTAATTTGAGAAAGGATCTCATTAGTTCAAGTTAGTCTTAATCTCCCTATGTAGTCCAAGTTGGCCTTGAACTCCTGATCTTCCTGCCTCTCCACTTCCAAAGTTCTGAAACTACAGGCATTCACTGCCACTACCAGCCTAGAGTGCTCTAGTTTTAAGAGCTGTAGTTTTGTGTGTGTGTGTGTGTGGGGTCTTCTCTTGCTTTTGGTATGTTAAAAAGAATTTTTCTATGTAACCCAGGCTGGCTTCATCTTCCTTCCCGATATTCATCCTCTCAAAATGCACCCCATATCCAGTATATAATCTTATAACTCAAGGTGTATTGCAACGTTCATCAGCCACTCTTTACATTTTAACACATGTAAAACTGGACTGGTGTGTGTGTGTGTGTGTGTGTGTGTGTGTGTGTGTGTGTGTGTGTGTGCGCGCGCATGCGCGCGCGCTCTTAGGTGCACTTGCCTATGCATGCCCTTATGGAGGCATCACTGAGTCTTCCTCTATGGCTCCCCCCTTTATTTCCCGAGACAGGGTCTCTCACTGAACCTAGAGCTTGTTGTTTTAGCTGGTTTGGCTGGCTAACAAACTCCCAGGATCCCCCTATCTCCTCTTCCTCCCCAGTATGGGGTTATAGGCAAATGCTACCATGCCTAAGTTTTACATGGATGCTGGAGATTCAAACTTAGGTCCTTATGCTTGCACAGCCAACACTTTACCCCCTGAGCCATTTCTGCCATCCCTGGAATATTTTTTATAATCCAGTGTCTTAGAATGAGTAAAACCTGACATTCTCAACAAACAAATTATTTAGGCTTTCTTTGCCTGAGTTTCATCTGAAAAAATGCACATATTTATTTATTCACTTCAGAGCACTGTAGTGATTAGGGGCTGATTCACATGAAATACTCAAAATAGTACCTGGCACACTCAGTATTACTCTTAATATAACCCACAAAATGGTTTGTTCCCTTGTCATCTATACAAAGGTCGCTCTAACAAGCTAATAAACAGTGAGATCAAAAGGAACAACCTGTCATTTCTGATCCCTATAATCTAAACACTTTAAATTTACTCAGGAAAAGTGGTAAGCATTAAGTTGGGACGATCTACGAACAGATGGATGGTCTGTCTCCTCCATCTGCTGTTTCTGAATTTCCTGGTAAAGTTTAAGGAGGAGGACCACTTGCAGGAAGAGAGCTCAAGCAGTGTGGTCCTGAGCTACCTCAAGTTACTGAATCCACAAAATACACCAAGACAGACACTCTGTCCTCACTGAGTTACCTGCAAACATAGGAAGAAAGGAGGAGGCCCACATTCAGCACACTTAATGTAAGGTTCCATGAGGTAGGAGGAGCAGCCTCTGCAAGGGGGCTTATCAGATGGATCATCTAGAACAGAGAAAACAAACACAAGTTTAAAACTCCTGAATACCACTAAGTACAAATGGGGAAACTCTGCAAAGGCTGGAGACCGTGACTGTGTTGACAAACTTATTCTACACATAAACAAGAGCACTCCTTCTGTTACATGGCAGTGTGTTCCTTCCTCCAGGGCATCTATGGCTTCAAACATGGAGGCAGAGAAGGTGGAGGCGGAGAAACTTAACAGCACTTTTAAAGTTTTACAAAGCCCACTTTGCCACAAGGAAAAGAAAAATGGGCACATTCCCTACACAACACACATATACAAGGCAAACCAGACAGAATGGTGACAATTGCTCCATCCAGGCAGCGGTGCACAAGTAGCCAATGGCTATTCTTTCAACTTCTCTGCAAGTTTTAATTTTGTTTGTTTGTTTGTTTGTTTGAAGACAGGGCTTCTCTGTAGCTTTGGAGCCTCTACTGGAACTCTCTCTGTAGACCAGGTTGGCCTCAAACTCATTCCACCTGCCTCTGCCTCCTGAGTGCTCCTGATTAAAGGAGTGTGCCACCACTGCCCGGCTTCATTTTTTAAGCTGGGGGAATTCTTATTTGGGATTTAAGCTTTGTGTCTAGGTTGAGACTTCCATCCAGGAAAACACAAAACGTTGCAGACCTGCTCTTGTTCTGGTGAAACCAGTAAGTAGGTCTCTGAACTATAAAGGCAAAGAGCACAATATAAACTCTCCAAAGCCCTAAAACTCCAGGTATACATGTTCTAGGTTGCCCCAAATCCTGCCTCTCTGAAGTCAGGACAATTGACTATTCTGTGATTACCCACAGGAATGTGGAACAAAGGCCTTGGAAGGGAGATGGGGCAGGATCTCTTATGATAGCATCTTTCTCCTTAAAGCCAAAAACCCTTCAAGGCACCATTCCTTCCTCTAACAGCCATTTGCTTTGAAATGAAGACAGGGAGGAAAATGACAGGATAAAGAAATGTACTCCCCTGCTGGGCAGTAGTAGGGCACACCTTTAATCCCAGCAATTAGGAGGCAGAGGCAGGCAGATCTCTGTGAGTTCTAGGCCTGCCTGGTCTGCCGAATGAGTGCCAGGACAGCCAGGGATACAGAGAAACTTTGTCTCAAGAAAAAAAAGAGAAAGAGAGAGAGAGAACAAAGTATTTCCAGAAGCATTTTCCTTTTGTTCTGTTTTTGAGACAGGGTCTCATGTAACCCAGGCTGTTCTCCAACTATGATGACCTTCAACTCCTGATCTTCCTGCTTCTGCCTCCAAAGTAGAGGGATTACAGGCATTGCCATCCACCACTTATGGTGAAAAAAATAAAATATAAGGTGCTAGATGTCATTTGAAAAAAGTGGGGGGGGGAGGGATATGTGAATCCAGGTGCCCATGGAGACCAGGGGTTAGGTCCCAGAGCTGGAGTTACAGGCAGTTGTGGGCCACCTGATGTGCTTGCTGGGAACTAAACTCCAGTCCCCACAAGAGCAGAACACCTTAAGTGACAAGTCACCTCTCAAACCCCAGATGCCCATCTTTACCAAATCAGCATTTCCTGAACTCTTGCTTTGATTTTATTTTTTTTTTCTATTGAAATTAGAAACAAGCCTGTTTCATGTGTCAATCCCAGCTCCCTCTTCCTCCCCTCCTTCCTGGCCCCCCACCAGACTCCCCATCCCATCTTCCCTCCTCTCCCCAGGGAGGGTGAGGCACTCCATGGGAGATCCCCAAAGTCTGTCATATCATCCAGGACAGAGCCCAGGCCCTCCTCCATTTGTCCAGGCTGGAAGCACATCCCTCCACATGGAATGGACTCCCAAAGTCCATTCATATGCCAGGGTTAAGTACTGATCCACTACCAGAGGCCCCATAGATTGCTGAGGCCTCCTTACTGACACCCATATTCCAGGGGTCTTGTTTTTATTTTTAAGGGACAGGCTCTACATTGTTCAGGCTGCCCCTGGACTCCTAGACCCAAGTCATTCCCAAGTCATCACCATTCTTAACATTTAGTGTGTGTGTGTGTGTGTGTGTGTGTGTGTGTGTGTGTGTGTGTGTGCATGCAACAGCATATGGAGGTCAGAGGAGACTTGTACCCAGGGACTGCACTCACATCCTCAGGCTTGAGCCATCTTGCTGACCCTTTCTATCCTCTAACAGTTGACTAGTTCACTGCATCAATTAACTAGCCTCATGGTTCTCTGCCACACCTTAGGAAAACATTTTGAAAATCCCCCAAAAGGTAGGTTTTTGCTGCTATAATGACTAGGCTGAACATTCTGCAGACAGGAACTGGGATTCTAGGTGTTCTGAAGTACTCAGGGTACTCCTTCCTAAACAGTGAAACAAAGCAAATGAACAAAAAGCCCTGCTCAAGTCCTTAGCAGGTTTCAATTATTTCATTAAAAGAACTAGAAAGAGTTGGTGGTAGCCGGGCATTGGTGGCACATAATCCCAGCACTCGGAGACAGAGGCAGGAAGATCTCTGTGAGTTCCAGACCAGCCTGGTCTATAAAGTGAGTTCCAGGACAGGACAACCAAGGCTACACAGAGAAACCCTGTCTCAAAAAACAAAAACAAATCAACTAGACAGAAAAACAAATCTCACAATTACAGGACCTAGAACCCATTTCTATTTCACATGTCAAATATGTTTTTGCTAGTGTTGGGAATCTGACTCGGGACCTTGTACATGCTAGTCAAGTAGGCATGCAGCAGGAGCCACTAAGCAATAGTCCTAGGCCCAACTAAGATATTTTTGAGAGCTGGGTGTGGTGGTACATGCCTCAATCCCAGCATTTAGGAGACAAGCAGGCAGATCTTTATGAGATCACACCAGCTAGAGCTACTTAGTGAGACCCTGTCTCAAAGAAAAAATTTTGACAGTTTAAACATATTTGAATACCCTAGTATGACAAGTATACAAGTCAAGAGGAGGCTGTAATCTGTTTTGCTGAAACTTGACGATGGATTACTAAGACTTGCAGCATCTCTTAGTCACTAACAGCCTGAATCATCCTCAATTTCTCATGGTAAGATGTAGTGAGCCAACCTATGGGTCTAAGCAGCTGACTGCTTAAGTCATCAAGTCTCTCACTGCTTTTATGTCCTGCCCCCATCCTTCCACACCCACTTTTTTTGAGGAGAGGTTTTACTGTAACTCGGGCTGTTCCCCAAAATGGAGACAATCCTTGCTCTAGGCACCCAAGTTCCGGGATTACAAACATGTGTCATTAACCTGGGTGTAATCATGTCTTAAAAAGCATACTGACACACTATTTTACTATAGATTACATTATTTCATTACAGACTACCCCTTTTACTATGGAATCATTTTTATTTTTGAAAACATGTATCTGTGTATTCCATTTTTGAGAACCAGTCTTACCAGTGCCCACATAGTGGCCATATATGCATTTATGACATCATCATCTCTTTGCTTTTTCAGTATCTTTGATATATGCAACATTTTAAATTTCTCCCTCTCCATGTATTTTTCTAAAATTAAAATTACTGAGCACACAAAGGACAGATCTAGGGTTTTGAAGGTTTATTTACTTTAAGATCATATTTATTTATCCACTTTGTGTGTATGTGAGTGGGCAAGAATGAATCATATAAGATGAGCACATTTGTGTTATATAACTAACAACCACCTGTAATTCCAGTTGCAGGGGCTCTGATACCTCTTCCAGGCCTCCACGGGTACCCGCACTCTCTCTCTCTCTCTCTCTCTCTCTCTCTCTCTCTCTCTCTCTCTCTCTATATATATATATATATATATATATATATATATAATTAAAACAATAAAATAAAAAAATTCTGAGGAAATAGTTTTAAAACTGTGAATTTTTTTGTTTGTTTTGTTTTTTGTTTTTGAGACAGGGTTTCTCTGTATTGTTTTGGAGGCTGTCTTGGAACTCACTCTGTAGACCACCACCACCAAGGCCTGGCTGAAATTGTTTTAAAAATGTGGCTCACGCCTTTAATCCCAGCACTCAGGAGGCAGAGGCAGGCAGATCTCTGTGAGTTTGAGGCCAGCCTGGTCTACAGAGTGAGTTCCAAGACAAAAAAAAAAAAAAAAAGAAAGAAAAGAAAAGTGACTAAAGCAATAAAAACACCCTAAATGTGCTGGAGAGAAGGCTCAGTGGTTCAGAGCCTATCATGCTCTTCTAGAGGACTGAAGTTTGGTTCCCACTAAGCACACTGGATGGCTCACAAAAGCTGTAACATCAGTGCCAAGGGGTCTTGACACCTTCCGGCCTCCTCAGGCACCTGAACTCACAAGGACATATTCCCACACAGATACACATAATTAAAAATTAAATAAATCTTTGGTGCTGGAGAAATGGCTCAGCAGTTAACAGCACTGGCTGTTCTTCCAGAAGACCAGCATCCATATGGCAACTCACATCCATCTGTAACTCCCTCTTTTGGCCTCTGAAGGCATCAGGAATGAATGTGGTCCACAGACACACATGCAGGCAAAACATCCAGACACACAAAGTAAGAAAAACTGAAAAAAAATTTTATAAACAGGCTAGAAATACGGCTCAGTGCTTAAGAGTGTTTACTGATCTTGCAGAAGACTTAGGCTCTGTACCCAATACCCACACATCTGTAACTCCAGTTCCAGGTGATCCCTAACCCTTTTCTGGCCTTCATGGGTCCTGTAAACACATAGTGCACATAAACTCCGAGGGGTGAACACACATACACATAAATAAATACATCTTTACAAAACAAAAACTATAAAGTTGAAAAAGCAAGTAAACTGGAAGAAAATATCTGCAAATCCTAGAGAAAAAGGCTGCATTTTTTTTAAACCTTCATTTTTATTTTATTTGTAGAGGTGTTTTAGCTGCATGAATGTCTGTGCACCATATACATGCAGTACTTGTGGAGACCAGAGAATGTCAGCTCCCCTGGGACTAGAGTTGCAGACAGTTGTGAGCCTTCATGAGGTTGCTGGTGGTCAGATTTAGGTCCTCTGGAACACCAGCCAATGACCTTAACCACTGAACCATCTCTCAAGCACCTGAAATTCTTTTTGGTTTTTGAGACAGGGTTTCTCTGTGTGTAGCCCTGGAGCTTGCTCTGTGTCATGCCTTAACAATTGTGTTTTAAAAGATGGGAATAGCAGCCGGGCGTTGGTGGTGCTCACCTTTAATCCCAGCACTCGGAGGCAGAGACAGGCGGATCACTGTGTGTTCGAGACCAGCCTGGTCTACCGAGAGAGTTCCAGGACAGCCTCCAAACTCCAAAGCCACAGAGAAACCCTGTCTCGAAAAACCAAAAAAAAAAAAAGAAAAGAAAAAAAAAGATGGGAATAGCTGGGCATTGTGGCGCTTGCCTTTAATCCCAGCACTCGGGAGGCAGAGGCAGGCGGATCTTTGTGAATTCGAGGCCAGCCTGGTCTGCAAAGCAAGTTCCAGGACAGCCTCCAAAACAATACAGAGAAACAAAAAAAAAAAAAAAAAATGAGAGTAAACCTGGTGGAGGTGCTTTAATCCCAGCACTTGGGAGGCAGAGGCAGGAGGACCTCTCTGAGTTCCAGGATAGCCAACACTGTTACACAGAGAAAGCCTGTCTCAAAAAACCAAAACCAAACCAAATCAAACCAAATGGTAGGGGTAGTTTCAGTTTATACTCGGAGCTTTGTTAAACTGAAAATGTAGAAGTAAATATGTCCTAAAATTCTTCTTTTCTAAAAAATGTAGGGAAAATGCAGAATGTCTTTAAGAAAATGACAAAGAAACAAAGCCTGAAAAATACATTTCTGGTTCTTACTGGGATACTAATGAACATCTAATTTGTGATTGTACATATGTATATGTGCCTGTGTATGCACAAGTGTGTATCACCTAATTTTGTGATTGCGATTTCTTCAAAATCTAATGATGGTACATGTCTGAATTCCCAGCACTTAGGAAAATAAGTAGCTCAAGGTCTTCCTTAGCTACGAAGCCAGTTCCAGGCCAGCCCAAGTTACATGAGACCCTGGGCTCAAAAATAAAAGTGTTTAATTACAGATCAATCATATCGTGGCTGGTCCACTCAGCTTGGTTTTATTCTAAGACTTGGAGTGATAGATACATTTGTGTTATGGTCAGCAGGTAACCACTAGGTACTGGCTGATTCCTCCACAAGTTATCAATCAATTTCAAAGACGTTGCTTCTATGATCAACTTCTACTTTAGTTTGCTATTCATCTTCATTTGAAACTTGCCCCATGGTACTTACTGCTAAAGGAACCCAAACGGTCCATTCTCTGACAGTGACGGCTATTATTCCTGATCTTCCTTGACAGGGAGCTTCTTCAAGACTTCAGAAGTGGCCAAAATTAACGATCCCCTATGAACAAAGAGAAGAGCCACATGGATCAGAAAACCATTCAAAGACAGGTGGTGGTGGCACATGCCTTTAGTCCCAGCACTCGGGAGGCAGAAGCAGGTGGATCTCTGCGAGTTCTTGGCCAGCTTGGTCTACAGAGCGAGTTCCAGGACATCTAAGGCTGTTACACAGAGAAACCCTGTCTCGAAAAACCAAAAAAGAAAGAAAACCATTCAAAGGTCTGTTACAAGCAGCACCTTCAACCCAGTCACACCAGGAGTTTGTGATGCTGGGGGACCTGCTCTTCCTCTACAAACTGGACTGGCCTTTGTATAAAAGGGTTATGATACAACAAGCTCAGCCTCAAAGTCGGGAGCATTAAGTGTACACTTAAATATCCATAAGCGTATTCTTGCTTTTGAAGCAGACTCACTATGGTAGTCCAGGCTGGCATCCAACTAAGAGCCTATCTTAGCTACCCAGGTCAGGAGTCACAGGTGTGCTCCACCTCAACCAGCAAATGCTTATGAATTTCTAACAAACAACTTTTGGCTTTCTCTGCCAAGTATCCATTCCCTTTGGCTGGATTTGCTTTGGTGAAATTATGGCAATGGTGGGGTAGCCAATCACTGCGCTCAGACCTCCATGTTAAAAAAATCTGCAACTTGCTGGTGTGAGGGTATACAAAATCCCAAGAGGCAGAAGACAACAGGTTTCTGTGAGTTCGAGGTTAGCCTAGTCTACACAGTGGGTTCTGGGACGGCCAGTGTTACATTCTGAGACCCTATCTCAAAAAAATATTTTTTCCCTTTGGTTTTTCGAAACAGGGTTTCTCTGTATTGTTTTGGAAGCTGTCCTGGAACTTGCTCGGTAGACCAGGCTGGTCTAGAACTCACAGAGATCCGTCTGCCTCTGCCTCCTGAGTGCTGGGATTAAAGGCATGAGCCACCAACGCCCTGCTCGAAAAAATAAATTTTAACTTGTTTTATTACTGGAGACCAAGAAATCCTACCCAAGCTAGGTAGTGGTGTCAAGAGCACTTAATTCCGGGATTTGGGAGGCAGAGGCAGGCAGATCTCTGAGTTTCAGTCCAGCCTGGTCTACAAAAAGAGTTCCAGGACACCTAGGGCTGTTACACAGAGAAACCCTGTCTGGAAAAAAACAAGAAACAACAACAAAAAAATCTGGGACAGATTTGTCTGTGTAGCTCTGGCTGTTCTGTCTAAACGAGGCTGGCTCAGAACTCAGAGGTTTGCTTGCCTCCGTCTCCCGAGCACTGGGGTTAAAGGCATGCTCCACTACCACCCAGAAGAAAAATGAATTTAACAAAGGAATAGTATACATCCAGGAATAAAAATAACAAGCCAACATCGATATAGACAGGAAATGAATATTATCACTCTATGTGGAATATCGCTTGGAATCCTAACAATCTCCTGGAACAGACTGTTTTTTCCCGAGGAAAGGAAGCGCTAAAGACTGGGGCATTGGCACAATGTTTTTACAGGTTGGTGAACAGCAGGGATCTATCAATAGAAGCTTACACCGTAAAGGATGCTAGAATACACTCTGACAAACACTCCACGTCACAAAGCACAATGCTGCAGAAGGCAAAAATCTTTCTTCTCCTTTCTTAGAAATCCCACGCAGTGACACTAACATCCTGGAGAGACGGGTTACATTCGGATTAATTACTAGAGGGAGTAAGGAAGGGACCGAGGGGCAGGCTCCCGGAGTTGCCGTTTTGGCAGTTGTGCAGACAGCATCCTTAAAGCTGTATGGCCTTGGACAAGTCATTGTACCCTCGCCTCGGCTCGCAAACGCAGCTCAACACTGGCTCGCCGAGACCCACGTGGGGGTTCGGCGGATCAGGTGGGCCGGGGCCGCCCTCCACCGCGCAACCGGGGACACTGAGGTGCGGCACCACCAGCCACCAAAGAGCGGGGGGAGGGGCTGCGGACCGATGGGGCCGCACCCGCCACGCCCGCCGCGTGACCCCGCCGCCGCAGCCCGCACCGCGTGACCCCGCGTGCCCTCGCTCCCGCCGTCCGGCCCAATTCTCACCTCGCCAGGTCTCGCACCCCTATACCCAAGATCCTCCCGCTGCGCGCGCCGTCCAAGTTCCCTGCGTGCGCGCTCCTGCCTGCGTGCGCGGCCCCGCATCACGTGCGCGGCCCCGGACTACGCCGTCGCGAGCACGCCGCGTCTGCCCCGCCTCCACCCCGGCCGCGGGCGGGTCCTGGTGGCGCTGCCCCGGGATGGAGAGAGTGATGCTTGCCCTCTCTCCAGCAGGCCCTGGAGTCTGATCTGCTGTCACCTTTCGCGAGGCCACAGGAGTCCCAGTGCGGTGCTCAAAGGTGGCCCCGCCTGGTTCAGTCTGGATTTTCTCATAGCAATCCCACTCCAGTCCTGTTGCAACCGAGGAAACTGAGGCTGCCCAGGCGCTGGGCCGGACGAAGGCAAGCCACTCCTGGATTATTCAAACTGAAGAGGGTTCTTTTCATTCTGATGCTTCTGGGACATCGCAATTGTCTTCTCTGGAAAGACCCATCCCCTCCCCGAGCTTCAGATGCTCACGTGGAAGTGCAGTGATGATGTGGTGGTCCACTCTGATGTCAATCTTGAGGGCTAGGTATGTCCCAACATCTCTTATTACGACTAGTAGAGATTGTTATAAGGGCTTCCATTCCTTACTGTATGCTAGGCATTGTACAAAGCGCATTACACCAACAACTTTCTGAGGGAGGCACTGTTCCTGTCCCCGTGGTCCAGCTGAGAAAATTTAGGCACTGGAATATATAACTTAGGATCACATTGCTACCAAGTGTTGGAAGGGATGCCAACCATGGTTGATCTAAACTATATGCTGTATAACTATTTAAACATTTGTCTTACAGATTTACCCAACTTCTGTTGGAATTCATTTATACACTGCCTGTGTGGCATCTTTATTAGTTTTTTGGTACAAAAGTAATATAAGTCCATTGTTAAACAAAAATATCAGCTGGGTGTAATTAGTAGCATACATCTGTGATCAAAACACGGGAGACTGCAGGACAATTTGAGGTCAGTCTAGGCTACAGAGTGAAAGGTCTGTCTCAAAAAAAAAAGGAAAAGAAAAGATTAAAATTCACATGTGAAAATCACCCCACCATGCTAAATAGTTAATATTTTTATGTATTTCCTCCCATACACTTTCCTATTTATTGTATCAATATTATATGGTACTTTATATTTACTGAGTCCTCAAATCTATTCATTCATTTGGTAAATACACAACAGTCACTGTTCTAGGTACTGAGAATTTGAAAGTGAGTAAAACTTATTCTGCTCATAAGGCTCATATATTACATATGAGTAAATGATAAAAGATAAGCATATTATACATAAATAATAAGTATTAAAAGATGCCTCATAATGTGGTTTTATGGGAAATTAATTGGGGTCAAGGGATAGCAGTGATACAGAGATTTTCTTTTAGTTGGGATGGGGAAGAAAGGCCTCTTAGCAGACACAGCTCACAAGCAAAAATCCGTTTATTTCACGAGGAATGGAAGCTAAGTGGATTTCTAGGAAGAACTGCAGATGAGAGACAGCAAGTACGGTGACCCTGGTGCATGGATCGCCATGGAAAAGAAGCAGGGAGGCCAGAATGGCTGAAACAGAGCTGATTAAAGAAATGTCATAGCCAGGACCCAGATCTTGTGTCATCTGGTAAACTTTGGCTGCATTTTGGATTTCATTGGGATGGGTTAGAATTCCATAAAGGGTTGAGATCAATATTCTGCTCTTTTTTGTTTGGTTTTGGTTTTGGTTTGGTTTTTGGTTTTGGTGTTTCAAGACAGGGTTTCTCTGTAGTTTTGGAACTTGCTGTCTGGCAAGGCTGTCTGGCCTTGAACTCACAGAGATCCACCTGTCTCTGCCTCCAGAGTGCTGGAATTAAGGTGTGCGCCCCTACCACCCCACAAGATCAATGTTCTGAAGAAAAGCATAGTGGCTCATGCCTGTAATCCCAGCACACAGGAGGCCAACCCTGACAACACATAAAATTCCAGTCCAATCTGGTATATAAGACCCTGACTCAAAAAAATGGATAATTAAATTGTCCAGGGAGGATGAAAATTAAATTATAAACTAAAATGTATCCAAGGGGATACAACAAAATATGATGTCATATATGTGTGAAAATGGCATAAAGAAACCCATTATGAATAGGTTAACTTAAAAATTAATGCAATAAGAAAATGTTCAGGGGGGATGGCTCAGTCTGTGTAGTGTTTGAGTTTGAACTTCAGTATAACCCCTATATGAGGTGATGTGTGCCTGTAGCCCCAGCACCTGGGAAGGAGACAGGAGGATCCCCTAGGGGCATGCTGGACAGACAGTCTGGCTAAATAAATGAACTTCAGGTTCATTGAGTGATACTCTCAAAAAATAGAATGAAGGGGCTGGGGAGATGGCTCAGTCAATGAAGTACCTGCTGCACAAACTTGTGGACCTGAGTTCAGATCGCCAGCACCAGTACTCCCTTCGCTGGTAACCCCAGCACTAGGTAGAGTTGAGACAGGCACAATCCTGGAGCTCATTGGCCAGCCAGCCAATGGGTGAGTTTCAGGAGAGACCCAGTCTGAAAAATTAGAAAGACACCCAACATCAACTTCTGGCCTTCGTATATAGAGGTACTTCTGGGCAGATAACACACACACACACACACACACACACACACACACACACACACACACATTCTCTCTCTCTCTCTCTCTCCAAAATATGAAAAATAAAATTTCCCGTGAGAGGAAGGCTAACACTGATGGAAGCAGCACTTTCCCTGTTTTCTTCTTTAAGCAGTGTAGTGGTGGTGGCATCGCAAGAAGAAGGGAGAATCTAATTGAAGGAAGACCAATTTGGAGGAGAAAGTAACTTGTGTTTGGCATCTACGTGTTGCATACTAACTGGAAATGACAATAGGAATCTGCAGCTCAGTGGAGAGGTCAGGGCTCAGATTGTGTAAGGAGTAGAATTGCTTCTTTGTGTTTTCCTCAGCTTGTGAACAGACTGTCTTTTCTCTTTGTAACCTCTGTTCCCAGAAAGGTAGGGTCAGCAGATAACTGGTGAAATGAATAAAGACAAAGGTTTGGCCAGATGTGGTGGCACACACCTTGAATCCGGGCACTCAGGAGTCAAGTGATAGGAGCATTGCTGCAAGTTGAGGCCAGATTGGTCCATAGGGCAGCGGCTAAGCCAGTCAGGGTTACATAAAGAGTTCCTGTCTCAAAAAACAAAACAACCAAACAAACAAAAACAACAACCAGGCAAAAGGTACAGATGGAGTTACTCAGAGAAAATGTGTGAGACTTAAAAAGAAGACCTGGGAGTGGAGAGATGGTTTAGGGGTTAAGAGGACTGTGTATTTGTACAGAGGACCTAGGGCCCACGTGGTAGCTCACAACCACCTGTAATTGCAGTTTTGAGGGATCCAGTGCCTTTGACCTCCATGAACACCAGGCATGCAAGTGATACACATATATGCAGGCAAAACACTTATACACATAAATCCCAAAAATGTGTCAAAAAATAAAAACAAAACGAACTCTACTTTTACTGGGTGTCCAAGCAGCTGAACATGACTTACAAGTAGAGTGACCATAATTCCTGAATTGATCAGGCGGTTCCTGGTTTATTCCTGTTGTTGTCACTTAATTATTAATATTGCCTTGATTCACTAAGATGTACCTTGCTTTGTACAATAAATCTATAGATCATTCTTTGTAGAAAGCCCATCTAAACCTATCTCAGTCTCACTTCCTTTTGGTGTTATGTTTTGGTGCCAGGGATGGGAACCAAGGCAAGCACTCTGCTACTAAACTACACTTAACTGACTTCTTTGTTCATCATCTTGTAGTCAGTTCCCCAGCGCCATGGAAGGACCTCCTGTTCTCAGACGCACTCTCACCTCCTGGCTTCCTTTGCCAAGGGAGGGCTTTACTTCAGCTTGGCTGTCACTTCTCCAGAAACCTTCTCCTGACCCTTCAAAACTCTGAGTCCCAGCATACCCTGTATTTAACTTCAGAACAAAGGTGCCTTGCTCCTCCTCTCACCATCTCTGTAGAGAAATCTGGAAGCAAAATGAACTCAGTAATTTTACATATTTACTGACCACTGATTTTAAACCTGGACCTTCAGGACAGGCATAGCACATTCTCTAAGGCCTTCATTCTTGACTAAGAGTAAACTTTTGAACTAGAAGTCTAACAAAGACAATTGTTTCCAGGCTCTGAAACGTGACTGCATTGGTTGAGAACAAACAAAGCTTCAATTCCTCCTCATCCATGGAGCTGCTGTGGTTAGAGTCAAAGTGCATGTTCCTAGCCTCCTTCCTGTGAAAATAACACCCTGTCATGTCTGCTTTAATTCTCCTTTTTTCTAATGAGACTGAGTCTTGTTATAAGGCCTGGAACTCACTGTGAAACTTAGGCTAGCCTTGGTCTGGTGATCTTGCTGCCCCAGCCTGAGCTCACAGGCATGTGTCACCCTACTTGTCTCTCTTATTATTTTCTACATCCCAAATGTTGAACAGCTCCATAAACTTGCTCTCCTCCAATTTTCCACATTTTCCACCTAACTGAGATGACTGTTGGTAATGACTATGGAAGTATGTTTTTAAAAAACAAGTCTTGGGTCTCAAGAGATGGCTTAGTGGCTAAGAACCCTGACTGCTCTTCCAGAGACCCAGGTTCAATTCTCAGCACTCAAACGGCAGTTCA